GTGCTCCGGGGGGAAAGCCGGCAGGGCAGGCAGCTACAGAGCAGGCGTGGGCAGGACTTCAGTTCGAAGTTTTTTGTTTGGGTTTTTTTTTTTTTCTGTATTTTTTTGGGGGGGTTGGGTGTTTTGTTTTGTTTTTTTTCCCCTAAAACAGTGTGACTCGGTATGCCGGGGCGGAATGGGGAGCCTGCTGCGTGGTGCTGAGGCCGGAGAGCTGTCGGCGATGGCGGGCGTGGGCTCCCCGTCCTGCGCAGCAAGCCTCTGAGAGCAGCCCTGCCAGCTGGGCGGGTTGGGTTCTCGCTGTGCTACCTCAGGCAAAATAAAAATGGGTGTGAGCAGGCTCACTTCTGAAGTAAGCCACTTGACCTTGCTTGAACTCAGTTATGAAGCACTCGCACTACCTGTTTGCTGGAGGAGAGGTGGTCTGAGCCAGCAGTGAGCTGAACCACCCCCGAATTCAGGGACAGAAGGAATGTGTCTTGGGCCTGGAATCCAGAGGAGATTTATTAAGGTGCATCAGCTAAAAGCATGCATTTTCTTACACAGAAGCAAAAATGCATTAACCTCTAGTTACGCTGAGCAGGATAGGTTTTGCACCTGGATGACAGCCTCCTTGAGGGTGTTTGCTGTGTGTGCTTTGATGTTGCACCTTTAGTACGCTCACTTGAACTGCTTGTCTTCAGCTGAGCTGTCTGTGGTGGAACTGAGTTCTCTCAGAATATTGTGCACTGCAGATATGCTTGACTGGATACCACTGGTGAATTAACACTTTTTATGAAGAATATGTGTCGGTTACATAGCGTGTGAATCTGCATGGTGCACAAAGGTATAAAAAGTTGGTATTATAACTGAATGCTGAGTACTTTATAGGATGTGTCTGAAAGCTTAGAGACTGCATTTAGGTTGTTTTTCTATACTCTGATGTGTTCAGACACTTCATTCTTTCAGTGTGGTTCTTGATTTGCACTTGTCTGTATACACAGTTAAGCAATTTAGAGGAATGATTTTTGATTAGAATTCTGTTACACCGTGTCTAGAAAAAATAAATTATATCCTGTAGCAATAAAGAGTGCTGTCAGACTGTTACTATTCTCTGTTAATGCACAAATCATGAAGAATATGTACTTTATAGATGTAAACTTCATTTAGGAGTATGCATATTTAAATTTGTGTAAGCAAATATATGTAATAAAATAAGTTTATTTGCAGCTGAGTCAGACTTGAACAGAGTTGATTTCCTGTTCTTTCTCACCCATTAAAAAAAGTAAAATGTCCGGAAAAAGTTGTTCAGAAAAATCATTGTTTTGAAGTTGCATTAAAATGCAGGATTAGGAAACTTTTGTGAAATACGTCTATTTTTTCTGTTTCCTTTGCCAACTCAGTGAATTGCAATGCAGTGTAGGTAGTGTGCAAAAGTTCTTGACTGATCAAAGCCTCATCAAAATAAGACGCATTGATGAATTATTGCCTTGTTACGTTAGCTGCTCCCGTGAAGATGTTTACTTCTGCAAAAGCAGTTTTGCATAGCAGATTAAAAATACTAATGTATTGGATTAATTCAGCAAATGCTGTTATGGGTAGTTGTAGCAAAAAGTTAAGCTGGCATTGCTACCATTTTTACATAGTAATCTCCCTCGTGGCCCATAGTACTTGTTGAGTTGTGTTTGTTTTGATTCTTCGTCTCTCAGGAAGGCTTGAATAAAACAAGAAGTATTACTGTGCTCTACAGCAGTAGAGGCCAGAATCCCATTGTACTGAGGGCAATACAAATGTAAGGCAGACAGTCCCTGGCTTATAGTTTGCAGTGTAAGCAGTGTTTGTTTGGCATCTGAGGTAATTGGAGTTGTGGATGTAATTGCAGTGGCAAGCATAAAATGTACAGTTTAATGAAGGTTTGTCCTAGTATTTCTGAATAATATTTTGAACAAAGTATGGGGAGCAAATTTGTTCTAATTCATTTATTCACTGATACGTTAATGATCCCGCTGCATTTTTATCAGACTTACAGCCCTATCCATAGAGTCCACTGCAGAGTTATACTGAAGCTTCAGCTGTCTTTTATCTGTATGTTTAGTAGTGTATTTGGACAGGTCCCCAAGGTCTACTTTGCATTCATTTCAGTTGGCAAATGTATTTAAAAACTTCAGTTAATACCTCGAAACAATGTTCGAGTTACAGAAACAACTTTGTATGTGGGATAAATATAGGTAAACCCAAACCACTGGAGGAGGGGAATGCTAACTAACCGTGGCATACTGTTTAGACCATCCATGGAGAAGTGGTACTTTGAATGTCCTTAAAAGACATGCTAACCTGAGCTTAGGATGGTACTCTCTATCAGTGATTGGAACTTCAGCTTCTGTGGGTTTGATAGCCTGAACTTGAACGAAACACACTTCATGCTGTTTATCACAGGAATACCCTGAAATGCTTGGGGGAATGCTGTACATATTTAATATAGGGGCACCTATTTGAGTTGTCAAAGTGTAAAATATAGCAGGTCTTGCAAGAACCTTGGTTCTCTTATAGGCCACACCTGGCTGGCTGTTTTTGTGGTATCTGTGGAGCAGAGCTATCATTTATATGGGAAATGGAGGTAATTATTAGTGAGCTTTTAGTAATGAGTTGAATACTCTGCAAGGATCACAGAATGGGTGCTTATATAAATTGCTGAATGCTTATGTGTCACAGTGGGAGAAAGTATTCAGAAATTCTGCTGCCAATGGTATTAATCATTCTGAATAGTTTTAAAACAGCTTTTTGAATTTGATTAATGTCAAGTGTGATGTTTTGATACTAGACCCTTATACAGCATTTCAGGTAACTAAATATGTGACTGTGGAAGCAGAGAGAATTCCAGCTGGCACATATGTGTGCGTCCTTTCATATGTGCTTACAATTATTAAAACATGACCTGAAAAGTTGGCGGTTGTTCAGATGCTAAAATCCCCTGTCGTTTTTATGTATTGCTGTAACATCGGCAGTATCTCTCTGCTAGGTGCTAAGCAGGGAAAAGAAAATCCAAGGTGATAACTGATTTGAGTATGAAATGATGCAACTAGTTGGTACTATAGAAAAGTAGAATACAGAGAAATGTTTCTGATCCTGAGGGTGGATTGTGGATGATTGCTCAGGAGATTAGTGATAACCAGTTATACCAAAATGTCCTACCCCATCAGCTTAGTGTCAGAGGTGAAATTTCTGAAACAGTCGAGAGAAGTTTCCATAACCCAAATTATTTTAAAACAATAGCAAAACCCGCCTTCTGTTTTAGTGGCTCTGTAGTCGACTTTACATCTTAAATAGGTGTGTCTTCATCACATGTTTAGTGAACAAGACATTTGTAGCTTGGCGACAGCTTAAAAAAAACCTGTAGTGTAAGATTTTGAGGAGTTCTCAGAGTCAGCAATCTGCAACAATATTTTTGAGGCCTAAAAATTGGCTCCTAGGTAATGGATCTGTAATATGTTTCCACAATTGTAATAAGGTGCTTTAAGTGAAAAATGGTTGTTTTTAAAAGGAGATGACAAAAATAATCAAGTATTTGTGCTACACCCAGTAAAATTGGTGCAGTTTCATACAGCATATCAATCGTGTAACTTTTTAGAAATTTAAAAAAAATAAATTTGTAAAAGTAATAGGGAAGTTGGTTAGTAGAGAAATTGTGATTTGTCTTCTAAGTTATATGAAAACAAGCAAATAGTGATTGGGAGTCACATTGTAGGTTGTATCATATTCTCCACACTGGGGGCTTGGAAGAAAACCACACAGATTCTCCCTTCCACCCTAACATAGTTATTATGTATGATTGTGATTCCAGCCCTGGGAGCAGAATAAATATCTGAAATTCTGGAGGGCTAGTTTAGGGAAATGATCATGGGGCTGGTAGGGTATCCTGTCGGGCTTTTCCTCTCTCTCAACCTTTCCTCACAGTGATTCTTACACTAGGTTGTTGGAAACCTTTTCTCTGGGCTGCATTGCTGATTGATATTCTTCAGCCTCCCCAGGCAATCTGTTGAAGTGATACAATATTCTTACTGGTAGAAACATTTCCCTAATGTCATTTCCATGTGTTGTTTCCAAGTGTCAGGGAAATCTTCCTTGCTGCCATTTAAGAGTGATCTTTTTTGAAGTATAGTACTTAAAACTATATGCAGAGTGCTAGATCTGATTTTAACATCATCGATCAGGATAGAAGGATTACTTTTCCTGTCTTGCAGCCTTCATTCTTAATACAGCTCTGTATGTTGCTGTTTGCCAAAACAGAGGGAAAGTATTGACTTGTGTGTAACTTGTGGTCCTCTATAATCCTTCTCTGCTCTTCTGCTTAGCTGCACATTGCTGATTATTCCCCCTTTGGTAATTTGCTCAGTTGTTTATTCCTACCTGACAATAATATCCTGCACTTCTTTTTGAGAATGATCTCACTTTCTTCACAGGTATATTAGAATCACTTCAGATTCTGTTTCTAAAATTTAAAAGTTGTGATGGCCCAACTGACTTCAGGTGAGCTCTGCTGTCTGTCGGTTGGATCAGAGGCTTTTGTTACCCTTGTATCCAAGATACAGAATTCTGTTTATGAAAGGAAAAGAAAGAGTTTAAAGCAGTGAGGTTTTGCTGTTCTTCAGGAAAAAAATTACTTCCAAAAAATGATTTTTCACTACTTTCTGTAATGAATCCTTATCCGCTACCATGTTTTGGATTAACTTTGCTTTAATAAAGACAGTTATGTAAGATGAAAGACAACAATGCAAAAATGTCTTTGGGTCTGAGAGTTTGCTGAATTGTATCTCTCCATCATGTCAGATTTTCGACTACCTGAACTTCCACCTTGGGATTCTCTTGTCATCTCTTATTTGCTGTGTTTATCAGGGAGGACGGAAGCGACTGCTCTAAATTTTAAAGTATGTTGAGGTCATCTGCACTGACAAAAGTAAAAGTGAACCTTGTCTGCTTAAACTATAGAAAAGTTTTGGTGTTTTGTTTGGTACTGGCTTCTACTTGCTGTCTTTCAGCTCTATACAGATGCTTCCTTCTATAGAAAGTTTGTAATTGGAAATGAAATAGAAGTGCAAAATGGTGAAAGTCATAGGCAAAGGAAAAAGAGGACAGATTGGGGGGGGGGGGGGCATTTTTTTTTTTAGTGGATGAGTAAGTTGAGTGGGAAGGAGAGAAGCAGACAGACTACCAGTACACCTTTTATTAAAAATAAGGACTGAATTTCTGGATATCTTCTGAAAGGCAGTAGGTAAAAACTACTACTTCCATGCCCTTAGTTTAGTACACATATTTAGAATACGAAAACTTGTGATGCTGGGGAAGGAGAGAGATACGAAGGTTCAGCTGATGATTAGCAGCCTGTAATAGTGTTCTGTGTTAACAGAACACATTGCTACAGGGGCTACTGGCAAAGTTAGGCTTTTTGTTCTTAAAGTTGTAAAACTAACTTTCTAAGGAAGGGTGGGACTTGTTCTTAATTGGTTAGTACATGACACATACACCATCCTTGTC